AAAAAAAAAAAAAAAAAAAAAAAAAATGGCACGTGCACGTAAGAACACAAGTACAAAGCAACACGATATGTACGATAATAGGAAAGTCTAGTTAGTCGATGCAAAATTCTAACTTCTCCACATACGAGGATAATAGATTTACTTTAATTTTACTTATTTTTATTTTTATTTTTGTTTGACTTGCTGCGTTGGGAACATAAGACGTAGCAAAAGGTTAATTAGCAGTACCTCTGATGGTGATGACAATATCGAACCCCTGTCAGAATTGAAATTTCCACTTAATCTCCTGCACAGGAAATTTCTGTTTATTAGTGTTTTTTCCTTTCTTTTTAAACTTATCGCCAACTCATAATATGTTTGTGTTATGTCCAAGCGTGTGCATTGTCAAAAAACGTACCTTGGCTTCTCGGACTTAGATATGTGTTTAGACATTATCGATGCCTGTATAAAGGGAAATGATTCTTGGTCAAGAATATGTCACATGTACCAAAAAAGCACACTATATGGGTCAAAGGAATACATTTATAGCTTGGAAAGAATTCTAGACCTGACCATAAGTTTATTCAGAACAAAAATATACGAGATGCAAAGCTAACATTATACAATAACAAATACCTGCTCTTGAATTATGCTTCTTGCCTCGACAAGCTGTGCTTCCAGCTCTAGTTCTCTTTCAGTAACTTCAGAAGTGACCTCTGCATCCTTTTGTGCATCTTGAAGTTGAACCATGCGCTCCTTCATTTTTGAAATACCGGAAAAAAAGTCGACAATCGAAATAAAATTTGATCTCTCAACATATACATCAACATGAGCTCTGAATTCTACCTTTATTGAAGCCATCTTTGTCCTGAGGCTTTCTTCGATTTGGTCTCTGGCCATGTGAAGAGGCAGATCAAACATGTCCTGCATAATTGAATAATTAAATCTTACTCTACCGTACGGAGGTTTATACAATAATTTATATCTCTTTCGACATTATTGCATACCGTCCTTCCACCCAAGGGGGACTGTGACAGGTCAGCATCTGGCCTATCATTGTTAGGCGAAGACTTCTTCCTGTTTGGAGCATTTAAGAACTCACGCATATCAACCTGGAGCCAGGACAGCTTTACTTATATAAGTTTTCATAGATAAACGGAGATTATTACTGTAAGTGTGTGTTGTTAATACAAGCTCACTTCAATGTATCAGTACACAGAAGTCAAAATGTAAACTATAGAGAGAATCATTACAACACTCGTCAAATATCAATCACTCATGCAGATCCATGACAAATAATGAACCAAGTCATAAATTAAGGTTTCCATTTTGTGAAACTTCCATCTGGATTTTTTTTCAAGTTCCTGAAGTGAACATATATATGCTCCACAATCATGACAGCTAAAACCTTAGGCCTGATGGGATGGAAAATAAACTATGCTTATGCAGATATTTCTTGTGAATATATAAAACCAAGCACTTTTCTCATCACAAGACGACATAGACTGAGAGAGGGAACTAAAAATAATAAAATGGCAGATGCTATTTCACTACCGGAAACCATAAATACAATTCCCTGATCATAAATGAAAATGGTAAACATAAACCAATAGAAAATCAAACCAGAACTCAAAATAAACACACATCGTTTATTTTATATTGTCTACACCACTCAATATACCTGCATGGAACGTAGTAATGCTCTCAAATCAGCATTCTCTGCAACCAATTCTTGATTCTTGGCCTCATAAGCATCCACCTACAAGCAGCATATAGTAAAGGAAGAAGTTTCTAGTGGCAATAAACATAAACAGTTCATTCACCGATTCACGTTACATACAATCTTTTTGTAGAAATCAGTATCAGCCTTCTTTGCATTCCATGTCCCCCTTTGCCGGCCTTCTTTCTGTACGCAAGATATAAACCCATGAGAAACAAGAAATTTAAATGTAAAGACTAAAGAATAGATATTAGTAAGTTGCAAATCATTTACCTGTAGCAAATTCATAATTTCCATGCCTGATCTAGATTCCTTCTTCTTCTCATTTACTACTTGATTAAGTTTCTCCTACAAGGAATGACACGTCAACATAAGATTAAGGATAATCCTACATTACATTTACAAGTCTGATAAGGAGCACAGAGTTATCAAAACCTGCAACTTAATATACTCCTTTTCCTTCTTCTTCATCTCATGAATCTGCTGAGTTCTCACTTGCTGTTGAAAATTAAGAAGTTGAAATAAATATAAGGTGACTGGCATCCCTAGTATGAAAACACGGTAAAAGGTAAAAGGTAAACCTGATTACCCAGAACCATCTTCTGAAACTCATCTCTCTCCTGCTGCAACTTATCGATTTGGGCTTTGAAAGCTGCTGTGGCTTTAGCTTCCTATTAATGGGATTTGTTATTGTGTTAGGGAAAATACTATCATTAGGTGCATTGCAATCAGTTTTTCCAATATGAAAATGCTGGACAAACCGCTCTAGTCATTGAAGCTATCTCCCTATCTTTGCCAGATAACTGGGATTCAAGTCTCTCGATTCTGGCTTCCAACCTTGAAATGTCTGATAAGAGTCTTTAAAAACAAATACGAACACGTCGGTCATCTTTTC